TTAAAATGCCGTTAAGTCTTTCAAAAACCCTGCAACCTTTTTATCCATGCATCTTGCAAGTTTTGGGACTTCTCTAAATAAACAAGTCAGATAGGAAAATGCAGTGAAGGCAAATATTTGTAAGAGTACCATCCTAGAATATGGGAATAAGTGTAAGAGCTCCTACTGATTTCAATAAGTTCTGCATCAAGCCCAAAATGCTACTAAATTCACAAATAAAAACAAAAGTCTACTGAAATAACTAAACCACGATTCTCTAGTGTTTACAACTTATGTTTAAGTCTTCACAAATACATTTAAAAGATGCCTGACAAAGCTAAACAGGCTCTAAAACACTGATCAGGAACTGACCAGTTTCACTTTCTGAATTTACAGTACAGAGAAGTGTTAAAACACCTAAAAATATAATTTTACCACAAAAAAAAACCCAACACAAACCCAACTAAAACCCCAAATAGAATCTAGCTCTTATAAGAAATAGCAGTAAGTTTCCTCTACAAAATTACAACCTTGTACACTCACATCTTATTGACTGAGCAATCTACTTTTTGGCAAAGTATTTTCATTTGATTAAAAATCCTTTTGTCAATTCTCTGTTTCAGAAAGGGAAAATTAATCAATATTCTCACTTCTCCATAAGGACAATCATACATTGCTCAAAACTACATTTCCTTTGTTACTGAGAATGGAAATTTGAATCAATTTTGAACTATTTTTCAAATAATAAAGTTGTCTAAAACCTCTTTATTTGGGAGGGTTACAGTGTTTACAGGACCACAGCATCCTGGAGATAGCAGGTCACCTACCTGGGTGTGGCCTCATGTTTGTGTTTTATCATGGAGTGGAACAGTTGCATAAATGTTTGACTATGCAATTATGGAAATGGAGCAAAAACTATAAGATTAAAATAACTGTCGACGTATCTCACTTCATATTTACTCTCTAAATCTATTTTCAATTTTTAACACTAAAGATACTTTTGAACATCCAAAAACCAGGAAACTAAACCATGGATCTTACAGACTATAGGCAGCCACCATGGAAGGGCACAGCTCCACACCTGGGGCAGCACAGCCTCCTCCAACACCACCCAACACCCTGTGGAATGTGCAGCTCGGCATCATGTTACTACACCTGCAAGTAAGTTCTATGAGTATCCAGCACCAAAATAGCTGCACCCTCTGCAGCCCCCCACTACTTCTCCACACAGCATTTAGCTACGGATCTCACATGGAGAACAGCTTGTTTTACAGTAGTGGGTGGCAGCTGTGAAAAGCCTTCCCCTGAAGTCTCCGGGAGATCCGTGATCCCCATCACACGTTTGGAGACAATCTGCTTTATACAGGAAAGGACCTTGAAGCCTCGTACCCCCTTAAAAGAGAAGCCTTAGATCCTTTCCTAAATATAATCACTCCATATCTGCCTGTTTTAACCCTGAGAGATCATCCACAACAGAACATCTTTGACAAAGACTCCTTTATTCCCACCACTCACATTTCACAAGGAGTCAAGATTCAACAACTGTGGTTCTTTGGAGAGGTGTAATGGTGGCTCACAGATCAAACCTCCACTTCAGATGTCACTGGAATATGAGTCATTAGCAATGTTTATTTCCCATTTTTGCTAAGCTAGGTGTGCTCCCGGAAGGGCACACCTCCCTTGAGCTGCTGTGAATCAGGAGGGAAGACTTCAGTTAAGACTATTTGATGCTCTAAAGTTCAGCAAAAATAGGCCATAAATAAGCTCTTTGGCCTAGGGAACGTGATTTGCTCAAACACACCCTCAGATAACAAGTCAACCTGATTCTCTTTATAACTTGAAGTCACATTTAAAATTGAACTGTATGAGTACAATGACAAAATTTGTAATGGCTTCTTTCACATAGGGGTTTGCAAATGGCTTCCCCAATCTGTAAAGGACATCCATTTCTACCTGCAGAGCAGAAACTAGACTCATACTTGCAGTTTTCTACAGGCAGACAGCAAGTTATTACGGACGTGCTGCATCCAGCCTCTTTGAGCCACAGTGGTTAATATGAATAACTATGATGCATGACACGAGTCCAGAAAAAAATGCAGTACTTCGAAACGTTGGCAAGACCTTAAGGAAACAGGTGACCTATAAAAGGTTTAAGGTTTAGTCTCACTTATCAAAGACAAACTTGATATTTAGCTCAGAGAAAAGACAGTTAATGCTTATCCTAAATTATTTCAAACATAGTTGAGTGACACAGAGAAAACCCCTATTTCCTTTAGTTATAATCACTCATCATTCCAAGACCCTGAGAAAGACAGCCCACAGACTCTTCCCAATTGCAAAACTTCAACAGCGAATAACTTTAATTTAAAGTGGACCTGTGAATTTGGAACTTCAACAGCGATATTAGGGTGATACACAGGCGAGTTTGGACCTTCAAAGCATCATGCTGCAGCAATCCAGATGATGTCACTCATATATATGAGCTCTACTTTGTTCCTACTGAGATGAATGGCAAAACCAAAGCCATTTGGGCTGACTCGACTCTCCAGAGGCAGGAAAGGATCTGCTTATTTAACAGCCTTTGCAAATTGTGTGATAGAGCATCTCACAGCTCTTAGGCCACATAAAAACCACACACAGCATGAACAACCCACAAATATTAGGCAATAAAAATGAAACTAAAAATGTAAGACGTAAGTTATCGATGTCTCTCTCCTTCCCACACCCCTCCCTCTGAGGAACAACTGCCACACCAATTTTCTAGAAAATATGGTTACACCGTCAAAAACCGTTTTTACTGCATTTTAATAAAAGATGAAAGTACTAACTAATGTTTCAGAAGTACAGTGAAAATGAGGAGGGGGGCTGAAAAGCAAGAGGTACTGCTGATATTAAGAACAATTTTTCTTGCCTTTCAGATTTTTATTTTCTATTTTAAATTAAAGAAGAAAATAATTGTAAACATATATTTTCCCTATCAGAGTAGTAGTGACGTGCTTTTGAACAATTAATGCATTTTTTTCAGAAAAGGCAGAAAAACTGCCTTACAAAAATATAGAATTAAATGGCTGTTTACTATCTCAAACTAAGGGGAACCTTACTTGAGTATACAGCAACAGACATATTGATTATGATACTAAAGCCCTGACAAAACATAACAGCTATCAAAAATGAAATAAAAACCTAATTCCATCTTGCCAGGTTCCTTAGGGACAATTAAAGGTTTTACACCTACTGATTTAATATATATGAACGACACTGCAAACAATGTATCTACTATTTAATTTTTAAATGCTCTATAGCACATTTAAACTGACAAGTCAAGCCTTATGGAAGCGCTGCTGAGCTACTGGTTTCTTCAAAAACAACCAAGTTATAACGCTTATTTATATATCTGTACCATTAAGGAAATGCAGCTTCAGAACCTACCATCTACACGTCCTGGTGAAATCCCTGTCCTATTGGGGGTCCACATCTTTGAACCCAGCTGTGAAACTGGTATTAATAGATTAAGTTTAGTAGAATTGCCCAAGTATCTGTCAAATCCTAGTGCAGGGTTATGTTGCACCCCACAGGGGCAGGTTTTTTAATAAGGCTGAAACGTCACCCAATAGTTACAGGATCTTTCCCCTCCATTTCCCTGGACTGGCCTGTAAAGTTCACTGATTTCCTCACAGGCACTTTGTATGCAAATCCTGCCGGGTATTGTCAGAGCATTTTACAGATGACTACATTTTATGCCACTACATCTGCGTGTCCTGGGCAAACCTCACTGCTCACAGTTTGTGATGTTAATTGGCAATTATATACAGCACATAAAATAAATTTGTGTGCTTTGGGGGCAACGGTTACCATTTTCCTCCTAAGTCCCTTACTCCTCAAGCAAAATAACGTGAAACATAATCCCGAGCGGTATTTTACAATAAGCCAAACGTGCTCTTGGTTAAAACCCAACCGGGGCCGAGTTTCCATTTCCAAGTACCATCCGCGGCTCAGAACAAATAGAGTGAAGACAAAAACGTTACCACGTCCGCCGCGAATAAGGAAACTTCTGAACCCGGGTCCACGTTTCAGTGCGATAAACTACTTACTCATACAAGGAAGAGGCTACTCTCCGAAACAACGAAAATGGAATTATTTCATCCCCGGGCGTTTGGGGACGGTTCCTCACCGGGGCGAGCGCGGCGGGAGCGGCGAACCCCCCCGCAGGGAAGGAGGAAAAGAGGGAGGGAGGCGACGGCGCTTCCCCGCCGAGCCCTCCCTCGGCAGGGTCGGCGCCCCCTCCCGCCACCCCGGGGATGCCCCGGCCCCGGGCGGCAGCGTTTCCTTCCCCCCGTCCCTTCCTCTTTGCTTAGTCACCGTGGAGCCCCCCGAGGGAGGGGGTCAGGGCGGCCCGCGGCGCCCTCCCAACGTCCTCGCCCAGCGCCGGGCGTTGTTCGGGCCCGCGGAGCGCTGCCAGAGCGCGAGGCGGCGGCGGGAGCACGGCGGGGCCCCCCACGGCCGCGGCCCGAGTGCCGGTTGCTCCCGCTCCGGCCGCTACGGTGCGGGGCGCCGCCGAGAGGCGCGGAGGAGGCCGGAGGGCCGGAGCACGGCAGGGGAGGCGGCCCCGCGGTGCCGGATGCGCGTGGGGCGGAGGGGCGGCCGGGGGAGCCGGGCCCGCTCGGTCGGCGGCCCTGCCCGGCGCTGTTACCTTCATCAGCCTCCTGCTGGCCGCCATCTTGGCTCTGCTGCCGCGCCCCACAATGCATCGCGGCGCGGGCCAGCCCAGCCGCCCTGCGCTTCCTGCGGCGGCGCGCGCGGGGCGGGGCGGGGGCGGGGCCTGCGCTCGGTTTCGGCTGCGCTCGGCTCCGCTCGGGTTAGGATCGTCTGCGTTCGGCCTGGCTCGTCTCGGGTTCGGCTCCACTCGGCTCCGTTCCGGTCGGGTTCGGCTATACTCGGCGCCGCCCAGGTCGGCGGCACTCGGCTCGGCTCGGCTCGGCTCGGCTCGGCTCGGCTCGGCTCGGCTCGGCTCGGCTCGGCTCGGCTCGCTCGGCTCCGCTCGGCTCCGCTCGGCTCGGCTCGGCTCCGCTCGGCTCGGCTCCGCTCGGCTCCGCTCGGTTCGGGTTCTGCTCCAGGCGGCTCTGCCATCCTCGACGGTGACTTTTGTACGACTGCGTTTTTAATCATCGCTCTGAAGTGCTGCTGTGCCTTATTCTGTGTACTGTGCACCCCCCAAATCTTCGTCGGGGGGAACAGACAACCACCTGTAGTCACAGGCTTAATCAAACAAGCCCATGCCATGCTCAGAGCCCTTCTCCGCCTTTATTTCTTAGTTTCTTCCCATACTTAGTTTCTCCCCTCGAAAGGAGAGGGAAAGGCGTTTCCGGAAGGCGTATCTGATCACAGAACCACCCCCAGCCCCGCTGGTCTCCCATGAAACCAACCCCGGCCTTACCGTACGGTGCCTTGCCCGGCCCAGCCTCGCCTCCCTGCTCCCAGCCGGCTGTGCCCTGCTACCATCTCTGGGAGAAAAGAGCTGTGGAAGGGGAGAAAAGGTCACTGTCAGGATTAATCAGGACTGTAATTTGCCATGCGCTTTTTAGCCCTTTAATGGAGCTCTAACTGTAGCTGTCCTCCAGCTCTGACCCTTCCCAGCTGTGGAGCTGTTCAGTGTCAGTGCAGGTGCCCTTAGGTATCCAAGACACAGGGCTGGCAGGTATGAAATAGGACCTAACTTACTACATCACATCTAAAATGACATCAGACATCAGTGTCCGGGAAACTGACTTGCTCCTTAAAACATTCCCCATTGACCCAGTGTGCTCAGGAATTAGTCCAGGATCTGCTCTGCTGATGCGTGGCCTTGATTCCCCTTTGCCCCTCCCTTGTGTAAGTTCATGTCCTTGCTTGATCTGGCACTTGTTCTACAGAACAAGTCATCTGAAAAAGTTCTAAGCTCTAAAATAAGCTTTGCAAACTCAGACAACCTGAAAAAGGAAATGTTGTACTTATTACAAAAGGCTTTCAAAAATGCAACAAAAGTTGTTAATTATGAAGCACAAGATTCTAGTACACAATCTTAAAATTAGTCCTTGAACAGATATTTGATAATCAATATTTTGCATTAATATAGTGCTTATTGCTCCAAAACTCAACTAACATTTGTTAATGAACTAAGCTATACAGCACCTACAGGAATCACCTACAGGAATCACGTACCTCCTGTGCATATTATGAAATAGTTTGTAAATAGTTATATTATTAAATATATTTGATGGTCATGATAACTTTATTTTATTAACTATGCAAATATTATTGCATTCATTTTATTCAAGGAAAATTAAGTCAGAGGAAACTGAAAGAGGCAGACCCTCCTGGTGAAGTAGCAGAGGGATGCAAAGTGAGTCTGTGTGCTAACTGGGTGGAGAAGTTACTCATGTGCCAGGCAGGCACACGTTGTGTGAAAACAGGAGCTGCAGAGACCCTCTGAGGATTCTTGATGTGCTGCTGAAGTGCCATGCTGGTGGTGAAGATTTAAAAATGCTGACATCTAATACAAGAGCTCGTCCAGATTCTATGACTGTGAAATACTGTACAAATACCTAAATCTGGTACCACGGTAACTTGGAAGAACAGTTCTTACGTCTGATTTTCCATGTCTACAAATATGAAAAACAAGCTGCTTCAAATACTATCTTGATTTCTTTATTTGCCAAAATTCTATTAGTATCTTCAGCTTGTCTTTATTTGACTGCATAATTTTCCAAGTCTACTATATGTCTCCATGTATTCTCTAAACATTTTTTCCCCAAAATACAGTTATTCGGGCCCTCGTCTATACCTGCACTGAGACACAGAGCCACCAGACACCAAAGACAGTACTAGAAGCACCACAGGGAATTCTGAAATTACTATCTGTAGTTTTAATCCACGAATTTATAGCTTGTGTCAGTGGTAGCTGGGATAATTAGAAGATAATCTGCATTTCCTTTAACAAGACAAAAATACCACCCACACTACAATTAACAATAGCCCAGGCAGTTCTTAAGAAATCCATGCTGAGTGCTGGATTCACAAATTGACACTTAACGATGAAATCCTGTATTACAGCAAAGTGATTGAGAAGTTTACATAGAACTAGGCACATTTCACATATCTCTTGCCAGTATCCTGGATCCTTTCAGTGTCCAGTATTAGACTGGATCCAGAGAAGATCTGAAGGTGCCATCACTCATGTGCATCTTGTGGATGACCAAGCGCTGTACAGCCGTACCCCAAGTGCTGATCCCACCCGGCCGCTGGTTACCTACAGTCAGGACACGCTGTTGTACAGTCCTGGAGAAGTGGCAGGAATTTCCTTTCAGACAGAATTCCACCAATTATATCTCATACCATTCTGTCAACAATAAACCTGGGCCATTCGTTATACTGTTTTTGTAGACAGTTCTGCATTTTTAAACTTGCTTTTTGGTATGGTTTCCACACTGTATCCATTATTTTACTTGACAATTAAGAGTGCCCAGAATACGGGTTTTAGTGCTATCTGTGATATCTTCAAGAGACCGGACACTATATTTATACCTACCCACTGTCAAAGATTACTTTCTATCACATTTCCACTGTTTTAAGCAACATAACTGTTCCACATCTAAAAGAGAAACCCTAATTGCCAATTGCCATGAAAACACAACACTACAATAACAAATCACAAAGCACTTGAAAACCCTAATTGCCAATTGCCATGACAACAGCAGGCTAAAATTGCCAGTCACAACACCCAATTAGCATTAGCGTTAGGGGTTAGGGTTAGTGGTTGGGGTTAGGGTTAGGAGTTGGGGTTACAGATTAGGGATTAGGGTTAGTGTTTAGAGTTTAGGGTTTGGGTCAGTGTTTAGAGTTTAGGGTTTGGGTCAGGGTTAGGGTTCGAGTTAGGGTTTAGGGTTTGGGTTAAGGTTAGGGGTTAGGGGTAGGGGTAGGGTTTAGGGTTCGAGTTTAGGGTTCGGGTTCAGATTGGGATTTAGGGTTCGGGGTTAGGGTTTATGGTTAAGGGTAAAGTTACAGTTTAAAGTTACGGTTTTGGTTTAGCGTTAGGGTTTATGGTTATAATTAGAGCATGCTCTGCAAACACCTGTACTGGGAATGCTGCAAAGGGGCTGGGGATGACAGCACCAAGTGGTGGGTCGGGAGAGCCTTCTGTGCCATTTGTATCCATTTCTTGCACAGACCTGAGCGAGTCCAACTCCTGCTCCTGCAAGCACCCTTGTGTTGTTTACGTAGTTGAGGATGGGTTTTTAGGTAGATTGGCTGAAGTGGGGAAGAGCAAGGGAAGACTATTCAGGTGGAGAACCAGTCCAGTGGAGGGGAACATAACGAGAACTTCTCCAAACCATGAGAGAACAACATGGGCATGTGCTGTTTCTAGACTAGAACTGGGCACATGGCAAAGTTTAATCTTAAAAATGTTTTTATGGTTTTTTTTGTCTCTGGCGGTGCAATTTCCTTCTCGCAACAGCTTCTCTTGGCTCATTGTTTGCTAAACCTACAGAGAGGTAATTTCTGGGTATCTGGGGAGACTCTTGAATGTTGGGAGGCTGCTGTTTTTGTTGTTTTGGTCTTTTGCATTGTTCTCTCCATCCGACCTTCCCCACTGCAAGGTCATGGTGAGTCTCATGGTAGAGTAACAATCCCGCTGGTGGTCAAACTCCTGCAAAGCTCTTTGTGTACTTGTGATATTGCAGCTCCTTCTTACAGGCATGATTACTCCACACCACCTTTCCTTGCTTGTAAGGTACTGGACCAAATACCCACATGGAATTTGAATTAGTGCCCCTCCTTGTGTGTTCTCTTTTGTACTTTGATGCCTTCTCTCTGGGTGGATTATTTTAACCCCAGATTGTTTGGGGGAAAAGAATTGGAACTGTTGTAGCTATTTAAGAGAGGAGAATAAAACTACTTATGGCTAAATGAAGATCTTGCACCTTTGTAAATCTTGAAGAAGTCTATTGCTGTGTAACCGCTGAATCTGTTAACTTATTAAACCATATGGAAATCAAAACCTGGCCCTGAGTCTGACTTCATACCTGGCAGAGTGCTGTGAGTTGCCCTCCAACCTGTCGCTGTCTCCTCTAAATTCTCCCACTCAAATGATGGCAAACTGTATATACCCCTGCAAGGGTCCCCCTCACGAGTCCTCTTTGCCCCTTGCATGCCCTGCTCTCATCTCTTGACTCACCTTTTTTCCCCTCTTCCTCTCTATTCTCCCCCTCCCTTCCCTTTTCTCTCCCCTTTCCCCCCCTTCCCCTTTCCGGCCCTTTGTCTGCCCTTTCCCTGGTTTCTCTCCCCTTCTGCTCTTATCCCTTCCCCGTTCCCTCCCTTGTGCTCTCGACACTCTCCACGCCTCCTCCCTTCTCCCCTCTTTTTTCCACCCCTTTTCTCCTCTCCTCTTCTTGTCCCCTCTTCTCCCTCTGTCTTGTGACCCCGATCTTGTACCCACCCTCCCTCTCTTCTTTTCCACCTTTGGGGGTGAGTAAAAAGGGGGATGTGGGGGAGTCTGGGGGGGGGTGATGAGGTCATTAGAGGGATCCCAATGCCTCTGGGAGAGCGAGGATGTGGTGGAGGAGCAGGTGAGTGGGGGATGAGGAGGGTCGTGTGGGGGTCCTCCCAAAAAAGGGAGATTGCAGCACCAAAAGGCCTGAAAACTTATGGGAGGTGGATGTGTGTTAAATGTACTAAAAACTGTAACATTTCTCTTTTTCATAGAATCATAGAACCAGCAAAGTTGGAAAAGACCTCTGAGATCATCAAGTCCAACCCTTGATCTAACATCACTGCAGCTACTAGACCATGGCACTAAGTGCCACATCCAGTCTCATCTTAAAAACTTCCAGGGACGGAGAATCCACCACTTCCCTGGGCAGCCCATTTCAATGCCAGATTACCCTCTCTGTAAAGAATTTCTTCCTATATCTAACCTAAACCTCCCCTGGCAGAGCTTAAGATGATGCCCTCTTGTCTTACCGATAGGTGCCTGGGAGAAGAGACCAACCCCCACCTGGCTACAATCTCCTTTCAAGGAGTTGTAGAGGGTGATGAGGTCTCCCCTGAGCCTCCTCTTTTCCAGGCTAAACAACCTCAGATCCCTCAGCCTCTCCTCGTAGGACTTGTGTTCAAGCCCCTTCACCAGCCTTGTTGCTCTTTTGCTATATATTGAAAAATAATATTAATTTACATATAAATTGATTTCAAAATAAAGCCCTGTATATATTGTATTATATACAGGATCCTAGAATATAAGAAATTCTAAATATAGACATATAGGGCTTGAAAATACAAATATAACTTTTGTATATGTAAATTAAACCACAGAGGGCTCAAAAATGTGACAAAATGTGACCGCTCTGGTGGCAATAGAAAGGGCTCTGTGTGTTGGGAGGTTTTTCCGGTCCCCTCTCGCTGCCACCCCCCCTCGCTGGGGCGGGAACCGCTGCTGCCGCCCGGTGGCGAACTCGGGTAGTGCGTGTGCGCAGTGACTCGCGGGTGACACCTGGTGACTGAAAGCGGTACTGCAAAGAAGGGCGCGCACGCGCAGGTGCTCCACTGAAGCGGAACGATGGCCTTCACACCATCCCTGCGACCCGTCCGGGGCAGGCTGCTGCCCATCGGCCCCTGATCGCAGGTGGATATGGAAGTGATGGTGTTTAGGGAATGCCGATTGTTTTTCCCTGACTTTGGCAACCCGGTCATTGAAAAGAGAAAATAACAAGTCCATGGAAATCCCCCGCAGTTGGGATCTTGTGGTGCCTGGGATTAAATCTTGGCTTAATAATGTTGAAACTGTGGGCGAGGGGAGGGGCGGTGGCCGAGCAGGGCCAGCGGCGGTGCCGGACGGGGCCGGCCCGGGGGTCCCTTCCCCGCGGGGTGGCAGCCGCGGGGTCGCAGCCGCGGGACGCGGGACCCGCCCCCGCCCCGCGCGGCCCCTCCCGGCGCGCCCCGCCCGGCGTTGGGGGCTGCGGCCGCTCCCGGCGCTGCCGAGGCTGCCGGGGAGGGACCGGCCTGTGCCGGGGGCACGGGGGTCGTTCCTTGGGTTCGAGGGCGGCAGCGGGAGCGGTGCTGCGGGGCTGGACGTGCGGGAGGTGCCGGGTGACGGCGGGGAAGCCGCGGCGGGGCCCGGGGGCTGCAGGCCGAGGCCTGGCGGCGGACGGGGTCTGCCTGGGCTTAGCGGGAGGAGTTGGGAGTTGGCATGGTGCGATTTGTTTTTGTTTTTGTTTTTTTTTTTTTTCCTGTTTTTCTGGTTTCCTTTTCGACCACTGCGGTGCTGGGCAGAAAAGGGAGTGGCTTCCGGACTCGCTTTGCAGACATTTGCTACCTTCAGAGGGGGCACAAATCCCCGCGGAGCTGAGCAAGGGGTACGGGGAGTGCAGGGAGCTGGGGCGGGACTGTGGGTGCCGAGAAATTTGTCCTTCCCTCGCCCTGTGCTCTGCACAGAATTGCCACGAGAGGAAATACTTCAGAGGGGCCTCCCTCCAGATAAGCCCTGAATATGCCAGGAGGTTTCAGCCGGGAGGAAAGGAGCTGTGGAAGAAAAGCAGCCTAAAAATAGCCAGCGGGGATCATCAGGTTTTCCAGCCAAGAAGCACAAGGAGAGAGATGAGGGAATCGGGTTCCAATTCCTAATGATTGGGTGGGTGCAGGAATGATTTGTGTGTGTTTTCCAGTCCCTTTTGATTCCTGGGATGATTTTAAAATGATGGCTTTAGCAATCAACTAAATCGGAGATGTTGTTTCTGAGAGGAAATGGTGCCAAATAAATGCAGAGTTTTGGGTCAGTTTTGGGGATGATTTGGGTCAGTTTTTGGGGTCAGTTTGGGGTCATTGTTTGGGGTGATTTGGGTCAGTTTTGGGTCAGCTTTTGCGATGATTGGGGTCAGGTTTTGGGGTCGGTTTTGGGTCAGCTTTTGGGGTGATTTGGGTCGGTTTTGGGTCAATTTTTGGGGAGCACTGGGTGTCCCTGGGGGTTGTTGGGGAGCACTGGGTGTTACTGGGGGTTGTTGAGGAGCACTGGGTGTTACTGGGGTGCACTGGGGAGCACTGGGTGTTACTGAGGGTTGTTGGGGAGCACTGGGTGTTACTGGGGAGCACTGGGAGAGAAAATGAAAAATAAAGAGAATAAAAAATAAACGAAATAAAAAAGGAAATATAAAAAACAAAATAAAATTAAAAAAAAAGGCAAAAAACCTAAAAAGGAAATAAAATGAAAATGAAATAAAAGAGAAAAAAAAGAAACCCCTTCTTGGGCACCCCGTTTCCTCTCCTCCCGGCCCCCGACCCGTAAATTGCGGGGTCATCACCCCTAAAATGTGAGACGGGGACCCCAAAATGCGGGTGGGGGAACCCCAGGGAGCCGAAAAAGCGGAGGGGGAGCCGCAGTA